ATAGCTTTTATTATGTTTATGTATGTTCCTGTTAACCCAGATCTCTCCAAGACCTTTATCATTAAGGGGTGTTGGATTTTGTCACAGGCTTTCTCAGCATCTATTGACATGATCATGTGATTTTTGTTTCTCAGCTTGTTTATATGGTAGATTACATTAATGGATTTTCATGTGCTGAACCATCCCTGCATCCCTAGGGTGAAACCTACTTGATCATTGTGGATGATTTTTCTGATGTGTTCTTGGATTCGATTGGCCAGTATTTTTTTTTGAGTATTTTTGCATCAATGTTCATGAGGGACATTGGCCTGAAGTTCTCTTTCTTAGTTGTGTCTTTGTGTGGCTTGGATATCAATGTTACTGAAGCCTCATAAAAATAGTTTGTCACTCGCCTTTAATCCCAGCACTCGGGAGGCAGAGGCAGGCGGATCTCTGTGAGTTCGAGGCTGGGCTGGACCGACAGCCTCCAAAACAATACAGAGAAACCCTGTCTCGTAAAAACCAAAAAAAACCAAACAAACAAACAAAAAAGTTTGTCAAAGACCCTTTTGCTTCCATTGCGTGGAATACTTTGAGGAGAATTGGTATGAACTGTTCTTTGAATTTCTGGTAAAATTCTGATCTGAAGGCATCTGGCCCTGGGCTTTTTTTTTTGGTTGGGAGAATTTGATGGCTGTTTCTATTTCCTTAGGTGTTATAGGACTATTTAAATTGCATATGTGTTCTTGATTTAATTTCGGTAAGTGGTATCTATCCACAAAATTGTTCATTTCCTTTAAATTTTTGAATGTTGTGGCGTATAGGTTTTCAAAATATAACCTGATGATTCTCTGAATTTCCTCAGTGTCCTTTGTTATGTCCCCCTTTGCATTTCTGATTTTTTAATTTGCATGTTAATTTGGTAAGTTTGGATAAAGGTTTGTTTATCTTGTTGATTTTTTCAAAGAATCAACTCTTTGTTACAATGATTCTTTGTATCTTTTTTTAGTTTCTAGTTTATTAATTTCAGCCCTCAAATTAATTATTTCCTGGCATCTGCTCTTCTGGGATGAGTTTGCTTCCTTTTGTTCTAGAGCTTTCAGTTGTGCTGTTAATTCTTTAGTTTGAGTGTTCTCTGGTTTCTAAATGTGGGCACTTTGTGCTGTGAACTTTCCTCTTAGCACTGGTTTCAAAGTGCCCCATAGGTTTGGGTAATTTATGTCTTCTTCATTCTCATTGAATTCTAGGAAGACTTTAATTTCTTTTTTTTATTTCTTCTTTGACCCAGGAATGGTACAATTGTGCATTATTCAATTTCCATGAATTTTCAGGTTTTCTGCAATGTGTGTTGTTGTTTAATTCTAGCTTTAAAGCATGGTGGTTGAGCCGCACCTTTAATCCCTGCACTCGGGAGGCAGAGGCAGGCAGATCTCTGTGAGTTCGAGGCTGGGCTGGACTGACCGCCTGGAAAACAATACAGAGATACCCTGTCTCATAAAAACCAAAAAAAAAAGCATGGTGGTCTGATAAGATACATGGAGTCATTCCAATTCTTTTGTACCTGTTGAGGTTTGCTATGTTGCCAATAATGTGGTTTAGCAGGTTCCTTGTGGTGCTAAGAAGAATGTATATTCTTTCGTGTTTGGATGAAATGTGCTTTAGATATCTGTTAGACCAATTGGGTCATAACTTCTATTATTTCCTTGTTAAGTTTCTGTCTGGTAGTCCTGTCTAATGGTGAGAGTGGGGTGTTGAAATCTCCCACTATAAGTGTGTGAGGTTTCTATATGTGATTTGAGTTTTAGTAATGTTTCTTTTATGAATGTGGATGCCTTTGTATTTGGGGCATGGATGTTCATTGTCTAGGTATTAACTTCAGAAGCCCATATATCTCTAGAGAGAATGCTGCCAGAGAGTCTTGGGTTTCAAGTTTTTGGTTCTGTGAAGACCATGGACCACTTCTGTGTGTAAAGATGTGAGAGGGTATGGAATAGGCTCACTACCAAAGTTTTAGGTGAAATCAAGCACTAAGCAGATGGAGTGATGAATTCTTTGAAATTTTAACTTGAATCACTGCTACAGGGAAATGGCAGAGACTGCCACATTTCCTAAAAATAATAAACACCACAGAGTGCTTGTGGACGGTACTGGTTTCACATGGTCACAATTAGCTGAATCTTCATGGGATATGATCATGACTTGTGCAAGGTTTGAGGGATAACTAAATCTCACTGGGCCTAAGAGACAGCATTCCTAGATTGGTAGTGAGACCATGTATAGAAGACCAACAGTGAGAGCATGTGTAGTAGACATTTCCTGAAAGGAAGCCTGGGTGTGTCAGAGGGCCTTGGCAACAGGAGAGAGCCGAGTCTGGTAAAAGATGATGTGGACCTATGGACAGCCAACACATCATTTCAGTAGATGCCAGCTCAGTGGCCCTCCTTTGGGGAAAGATGGGAGGTATATAGGCTTACCCCTCCTGAAATAATCCAAGCTTATTGTTTCCACTTGTTCCTGTTACCCGTGTCATTGGTCCTATGCCTACTTTACCCCAACCAGGAGGGACACCCATTGTGATCCTGCAAATACATTGTGTCTCCAGAATGCAAGACTGCCACAAAATGCAGTCCAGGAGTTCTACAGGGAATGAGACAGGCATTAGAAGATGGCATAGCAACTCATCTGTGATTGTTAGGTATTTTGTACCTAGGGACTCATCCATAATTCAGGAGATTACTACAAAAAATCTAAATCAAAAATAACAAAAACCACTAAAACAAAAACAAAAAACCATTAACTGCTCCAAGTCCCTCAAACTGGTAATATCTATGAATATTTCTTAGAGTGCTATGGAGGAAGTTTCCAGAACTAAAAACATTAGGGAATGACAAATATGTAACAATGCATTCATGGATGGAAGACTTAAAATAAACAACTTTAAATGCTCAAAAGACGTGATAGGCAGCAACTTGTATATTTGTATATTTGGAATGCCAACAATTTATAGTGAAATTCCTAGTCATTTCTGATAATCATACACAATATTTACAGGAGTTACCAAAAGGGACACTTACTATAATCATTCAACTATTACTGTTATTTTTTGTTTTCTTTTAGATAAGATCTCACTCTGTCACCACACTCAGACTGGTAGGAAACTCTGCAAACCTGTTACTTCATTCAGTCTCCCAAATCCTGGGACCACAGGCTTGAGTCACCACACCCAGCTCTGATTCAGCTTTTCAATTACAAATGAGATCCTACATGGTGACTTCAAACCTGTGATGTCTTTAAAACTATATGAAACACAATGAGTAAAGATGTAGCAAGAGCCCGCACCAGACATGATGAACACTCCTCTCTAACAAGCTTGATTCAAGCACGTCCTAATGAAAAGTGGGAAAGTAACCCTGAAGCACACACAGAAGTACAATCCACCTAGTTTATATTCATGTGTAAAGGGAAGCACAATACTTGTGCACAGACAACATCTCTGACAATACCAGCTGTTAGTAAAGGTGTTAAGCAACAGAACACTAATAACCTTGCTAGTGAGTGTCACACCGGCAGGACTGTTTTTTACAAATATTTGGGCAAGGCACAGTAGTGCCTACCTATCACCCCAGGAATTGGGAGAGTAGGGACAAGAGGAACGGGAAATCAAAGTCACTCTTGACTGCACAAAGCTTGAGGCTAGCCTGGGGGACATGAAAACCTCTCAATAAAGAAGTAAAACATTAGAAATCATCTAATAAATTAAAGATACACATCCCATGACTTAGTAATTAACTTCCTAGGCAGCTGGTAAGATGTTCCTGTGTATTAGACATCTCAGAGGAGTGTTGATACCAGCTTTGACCCCAACAGCTACCACAAGAAGCTACCAAAGGTTCAGACACAGAATTTGCACATGCAGTTAGAGATAATTCTCCATGGCAACAGAAGCTAACTTAAAGATAGCTGTAGAAACTTGGAAGAATGTCATGTAAAGGTGAAGAAACTAGACACAAATTATACACAGATTGATAAAGTTCAAAACCAGGAAAACTTTATAAACATATACAGTCTAAGAATTTATAAAGTGGTAGGAAAACTAAAGACAAAAAAAATCCCCCAGGAAAATGAATCCCTTAGTTTTAAGGAGGAGAATCTGACAAGCATTTGGAATAAGGACAAGTTCCACTTGACAGGTAAGTAACGTTCCCATATACTCATTTTATAATATTTTATAGTGTACATCTGAATTTTCTAATTTTCTGTATGGATACTACACATTACCTTTTTGCAAGCAAAGAATTAAAAATAAACAGCTATTTTATTGCAAATTCCCCTTTATGTAGACATCTCTTTTTTTGTTTTTGTTAGAGTTGAAGATATTTTTTAATATTTATTTTTTCCTCAATATATGTTTTTATTTAAATTAGAAGCCTGAATGCTTCACATGTCAATCCCAGTTCCTCTCCCACCCCTCCTCCCTTGTCCCTCCACCAGCCCCCCACACAATCCCCACATCCTTCCCCAGGGAGGTTGAGGCCCTCCTTGGGGGAATCTCCAGAGTCTCTCATTTCATCCAGGGCAGGACCTAAGCCCTTCCCAATGTATCCAGGCTGAGAGAGCATCCCTCTGTTTGGACTGGGCTCCCAAAGTTCATTCATACACCATGGTAAACATTGATCTATTCCCCAAGGCCCCAGAGATTTCTGAGGCCTCCTCACTGACACTACATTCATGGAGTCTGGATCAGTCCCCTGTTGGCCTCTCAGCCATCACTCTGGGGTTCCAGAGCTCCCCCTTGTCTCGTAAGCTGTCTTTGTGGTTTTCAATTGCATGAACTTGATCCCTTTGCTCACCACTCCTCCATCTCAGTCACCGGGTTCCAGGAGTTCAGTTCAGTGTTTAGCTGTGGGTATCTGTCTCTGCTTCCATCAGTCACTGGATGAAGGTTCATGACATATTAAGAGGATCAAAAGACTTCTCAAAAAAACCTTTACAACGAAGAAAAATGAAAGAGCTGAACCATATCAATGTACTACCTCTTTATTTAAAATATAGATATTTAAAACCAATTTGACAACTATTAACACTGATAACAATACTATCAATTATCTCCTGTGTGCAATGAGATAATTTGCCTGAATAAAACTTTTTTTATGGAGTATCAAACTGAATGCTTCCAGCTGGCTGTAAATTCATGCTAGTGCTCATCAAAACACTTTGGCTTGAAGTTTCTTGTTCTCTGGTCCCAGTCATTTTTTCCCATTAATTTGAGTATATAATGTGTGATTTTCAGCTGGCACAGTCCATCTGTCAGCTTTCTGGAGACATTTCATAGGTGTTCCGTATTCACTGCCCTGTAACAAAGAAAAAGAAAAATTAAGTGAAAAGAGTTGTAGAGATAATGGAATTAACAACCAGGAAGTCTGAATGAGAAAGTACAGAATGCACATGCTATTGAGACAGGGTTTCTCTGTGTAGAACTAACTGTCTTGGAACTAGCTCTTGTAGACCAGGCTGGCCTTGAACTCAGAGAAATGCACCTGCCTCTGTATCCCAAATGCTGGCATTAAAGCCATGAACCACTGCCCCCCTACCCCAGGATCAGTTTTTGTTACTGAAATTTCTCAAAATTTTTTGTCCAAAAATTTGTGTGGGTCTGTTGCAGACAGATGGGCCTTAATTACTAAATATTGCTGTGCATTTCCTAGAAAGTAGGAACAATCTTGTTTTGATTATTTATTTACTTACTCGTTGGGTGTGTCTGTGTACATGCTTCTGCTCCATGGTGGGCATGAGGGAGTCAGAGGACAATCTGTGGGGATTGGTTTTCTCCTCCCACCATGTGGGTTTCAGGGTCAGACTGAGGTTGCTGGGCTGGGCAGTCAATGTTCTTACCTGCTAAGATATCTCTCTGGTGAGAAACATTCTATACAGCCACATACTCTTGGCAAGAGTGATGAAAATTACTATGATATCTAACATGGGGTCCTTACAAAAGTTTTCATCAAATGTCCTTTCCAGGAAAATGAAAAGTGGTACTAGTAAGTCTTTCGCAACCTTGAAACACCTGCAGTGTACAGACTAATTTGTTCTGTGTTCTTTAGTCAAATAAACAAAGCAAAGCCCCTCAAAACCAACAATCTAAGGATGAACATAGAGGACAGTTCATGCTTCAAGTCTTACTTGCATCAAAACAGGAAAATCATACACAGGCCTCACAGTTTCCATACACTTTGGTCCATACTATGATCAAAACAGGAAGAAGTGCACTTGTATTATCAGTTTTTATTTGCATGGCATCTTTGGAATTGTTTAACACACACCTTTCTCCTCCATCAGAGAGTATAGACTAAAAGTATCCCCTCAACCAGTATTCCCAAGGAAAACCAAACAAGCAGGCACTGGTAAAGAAATAAAATAATGGAAGTTTTCTTTAAATCCAAAAAGGCTTTCACTGTCACTGATGTTTAAGGTACACATCTAGGGAATGCACTGAGAGGAAATGAAGAGAGGTAGAACTGGATGCGTTAGGGGCTGTGTTGCTCATCTCACCAAGAGCTCTTCATGGCTGTCTGCTTGTTCTTTATAACCATCTTGTTCTTTGTGAGACACCGATCCGGCTCCAAGAGCTTCAAGTTCATCCAAAAATCCACGGTCTCCACTGGCATGAATTAGATCAACTCTTGTCTGAATGAGAGTTGGAAGGAGAAGACCATTCAGAAACCATGACAAACATGACTGTCCAAAGCATGCCTACACTATAATGTACTTTTGCTAAGGATGACTGCCTCCAATTAGAGGACAAGATGCCAGTACTTGTTAAAATCATCAAGGATGATTTTTTAGAACCATCATTTTCTACGGAGACAAGTAAATCATATCATATATATATATATAATAGTGTATATGTATGTGTGTGTGTGTGTGTGCGTGTTAACATATTTTATTGACATTCAGAATTTCAAATTTATATCATGTTTCTCAAAGAGTGCCAGAATTGACTAAGATATTTTTTAGATGTTATAGGTGGAAAGTCTTATTACTATTTTAATATTTAGTACCCCCACTAAAATAGTTACAAGAGCTGGTAGGAAAAACCCCATATGTTAAAATATTGCCATTTGAAATATAAATTAATTATTGTAATTACCACATTTCTATTACTTTAGAATGTAAATACTGAGAACCTAAAATTCCTTGTGTTGTCTTTTGTGTGGTGAGAAATAACTATGTTTTCAGATCTCTACCTAACAAGATCTCCAACACATTTTCCCCCAGGTATACAATTTCCAAGAGCTAATGGCATTGCCACATTAACTTATTAGAATATTACTGTGAAAATTTTTACATCTTTAAAGAGATGGTGACAAAGGATATGTACCAGAAAGAATCTAAGGCAGTAAATCCCACACAAGTCTGAGAGAATTCAGCTTCCATGCCGTATTTTTGTATTTCTTTTGTTTCAGTGAATAACTTTAATACTAGAACTGATATTCTTACTTGAAAGACACAGAAGATAGGTTGCACTTGCTAGTATAATGATAATAAAACTACACAGTGTTAAACATAATTTGACCTGTGTCAATAGCTTTTGTTCTAGTGTCGGGAACAACATCTAATATAGTCTGTCAACAAATGACAAGCCTAACATGGGAGGAATTAAACAGCTTAATCTCATGTGGCCAATTGTGAGCAGCTGGGCTTCAGGTAGCCAATTAGATGACCCCAAACCCTTTTCCATAACCATTCAAGGCACCCTGTACCTTATTGGGAGTTCTGTCTGGAAGTATCCCCATTGTCTCAAAGTAGAGCTTTCTGAGCCCAAGTACCACAATTCACAAACCACAATTTCTGATTCAAATGAACTGAATCCTCTCCTTTAGGAACAGTGTATTCTCCTGAAGTCTCACTACATATAAGTTGTTTGATATGAACCAAATACCAGACTTATTAATAAAGTATCAGTCAAATTAATGAACAAAGATAAAAAGTTACCTAGAATATTTAAGTGAAAAAAAGCACTGAAAACTAACCTCAGAGATATTCAAATCTTGAATGAAAACTAAACTCAGATATATCCAAATCTTGAAGGCTTCTTTCGTTTTCTTTAATCTCCTGCCTTTTTGTAGTGTCCTCGCCTAGAGGCATCTGCAGCTTCAGTACTTTTTCTATATCAGAAACCCTTTTCTCTGCAATTTCAAGTTGTTTTTCTGTTATAAATTTAGAACGCATTTCAGCTACTTGGTTCTCTAACTGTGCTAGTCTCACAGTTAATGTGCAGATGTCTATTACTGTGTTGTCTCCTGTCAGAGGATTTACATTGTACCTATCTGTCATTTCCGGTTCTGATGCTCTCTTCTCTTGGAAGTACTTCATGTACTGCTGAAAGGTCTCCAGTTGTGCTTGACTAACAATGGCTTCAGCTATTTTTTCTACTAGTAAATTTTGAGGAATATTGATCTTCTTTTGAAGAAGTTCTGGTTTTGACTTTCCTTGCTCCAGGGTTAGTAACTGTGTTTCTAGACTTCTGTAACCTTTGCAGTTTTGTTTAAGGCAACTGAAAGCAGACAGGGTTTTTAGAAGCTCAGAAGAGTCCTGGGCAGAGACATCTTCTGGCTTCAGTGCATCAGCCTGGAGCTCATCAGCAGCCATGCCAACACTTTTCATAGGTACAGCGTGCTGTTGCTCCTGGTCCATGTGTCCTTTGTTCTGAGTTCCTGTTACAAAAAGTTATGTTTGTGAGAAAAGTATAGTAAATGCCGAATAATACATTTTTTATGATTAGAATAAGAACAGAGTTCAACTGAATTAAAACATAAAACACTGACCACATTTTTTTACCACAGGCAAAACTACGTACATTCCAAAGCAAAAACTCTCCTGTATGTGCATACACAAGGAATATAGTAAGCAAATAATGTTAAAATGTTAATCGAGAATAGGGAACAGAAAGAGGAATGAGACGACAGTCAGGGTTTCTGATTAGTTTTGTACTTTATCATGTTAGGTCCATATCCCTGAGCTACCTCTTCATGTTTACAAGTTTGTGCAACAAGGGAACACAAGCACATATGAGGATCCATGTGGTTAGTGCATGAGAGCAGATTCATTTCCTACATCTACTACTTTTCTCATCTGTGACATTTGATAAGATGGTCTTCAGTTTTGTTTTGTGAGCAATTGGGATGAAATGAACTAATGAGTGTAAAGATTAGAGTCTGGTGTGTAGAAAGGACCTCGTGAATATTAGCTGTTGGTAGTGTGGGTGATAAAATATAGACAGCTAAAAGTAAAAAAGAAAAGAACCTTGTAGAATTTTTACACTAACTGATGTGCCAACACTGTATTCAGATCTGGGATCTATAGAAAATACCTTTTCTAAAATAATGCCATTATTATATGTTAATATCAAAGAAAATCAGCCAAAAAACCTCTTAGTAAATAATTTGATGTATTTGATACCATGGGCTTACCAACCTTTCTGCTTTGCAAGGAAAACTATGAAAAAATCAAAGACCAGAGACTTAATATATTAAAAAAAAAACAATTTGTTTCTCTTTGGATGTGAGCCTAGCCTTTAACAGATAAGCCTTCCCTCCAGTGGGGGGAAAGACAGAGAGGGAAAGCAATGAAAGAGAAATTGATAGAGGAAGCCATTATGAGGGTTGAGAAATCTAGCATTAGGGACTTTACCAGGAATTCACAAGGATGACACCAATGAAGAACCTAAGCAATAGTTGAGAGGCTACCTTAACTGCCCTTCCCCTGTTATCAGATTGATGCCTACCTTAATTGGCATGATAGTGCCTTCATCTAGTAACTGATGGAAGCAGTTACAAAGATCCACAGCTAAGTACTGGGCAGAACTCTTTGAGTCCAACTGTAGAGAGGGAAGAGCGATAATATAAACTAAGGGGTCAAGACTTGTTGGGGAAACCAACAGAAACAGCTTTCCCAAGCAAGTAGGAGCTGACTCCAGACCGACAGCTGGGGAACCTGTATAAGAGGAAACCATGCTCCCTGAATGTGTGTTAAAGTTGGGGGATTTGGGGAAGTCTATGCTGCTGCTGGTAGTGAAATCCGTAATTATCCTTAGTGCAAGTACTTGCTTTTTAGAGCCCATTTTCTATGAATAGATACACTGCTTGGCCAAGAAACAGGGGAGAGGGCCTTGGCCCTGCCCCATATAATATAACAGACTTTGATGACTCCCCATGGGAGGCCTCACTCTCTCTGAGCAGTGGATGGTGGGGAGGGAAGAGCGGAGATGGTGATGGGAGTGGGAGGATGGGGAGTAGAGGGAACTGGGATGGGTATCTGAATAAGATTCTTTCAGAAAGATAGAAAGAAATAAAATGATAATAGCAATTTTTAGAAAAGAAAAAAATACTTTGTTTCTTAAAGATACTCAACGTTTTCCTTTGAAAAATCACAATGATTTTGGGCTCTGTGCAAAAACACAAGAAATAAGAAGAAATAAGATAATGGTAATTATAAAACTCAGGTGTTAATAGCAAATCACAACATACTTTTATTATAAAATATGCTGTGTTCTGTTAAAAGAAAATGAAAGGAACATAACAGACAACTATAAATTAGAAATGTTAGTTGAAAATCAAGGGTCACCCAAATTTTGAGTTGTGAGTCTCCTACCCAATAGCATTGCATGCAACTGTGCACATCTGCTCCAGGAGCTGCATCGACCGCAACATCTGCTGGCCCTAGGAGAGGAAACAAAACTATACTCATGTCTCCATCTCCCTGAAATACAATAATTCACATCTGCACACATTAAAATGCTGATGTCACTGCTACCCACAGTTCCATGTCTCTTGCATATGTTGTATGTATGACATGAAATCTTTAAATCTTAAAACTTCCAGCCCTAAACCTGTGCCAAACTACTTTGAGCAACCCCCCCCCAGAGGGGAAAAATGTATGTTTAATTTCTATATTGATAAAACTAGACAAATTCCAAGTTTATAGATCCAAACTATACATTTAAAATCAAAGAAGGTTCGATATTAGGATTTAAAGTCCATAGTCACAAAGACACATATTTCCCACTCAACAAGCTATAAAATCAAGATGTAAAAATCAGCCATTATGAAGTTAAATGTTCTGTGAATGCTTCTAAATGAGATGTCAGATGTCTTCTGCTCTCTCTGGCTTGCAAGTCCACACTGCCCACACCTGCTCATGACCAGCAGCAGATGAGGGTTCACAACACACTCATGACCTCTCTCCCACTAAAAGATCTCTCTTTACCCATTTCCTAAGCATGCACCCTCAATAAATGTAGCTTTTTTTCTTTTTGATACAGATGATTGAGAATAAATGAATAATTCTATTGTCCTGTTAATGGTTAAAGCCTTAAAAGGCAAAATAGAAAATATGATTACATGAAAATGGTTAATAACTCATTTGCCTTTAAAGTATATTTTCTTATGATTTTTCAAGTTTGTCTGTAATACATACAAATAACAGCACTGGAGAGGATAGTTTGTCACATGAGCATCTGAAGAGTAAAGACAGGAGAGGAACTATAAGACACAAAGTCTCAGTACATACGCTGCTCCACTGGGCCAGCCCCTGCTCTCAAGGCCTCCTTCTGCCTGGACAGCAATGCTCGCTCCTCCTGTATTTGCTGTTGCTCTTCTTCGTGTTCTTGAAGTCTCCCACTCATGCATAGCAACTCGTGCTCTAGATGATCTATCGTGCAGGCGTTTTCCTGAATTTGTCTTTCCAAAAGAATTCTTTCATCCAAATTCCCATCAACAATACCTGTAAGACACAATGTAGGGAAATGGAATTGCTTCTAATTTAAATTCAACATGATGCTTTGTTTTTTGAGACAGGGTCTCACTAGCATACCCTAAGCTAGCCTTGAACATTGTGATGCTCCTGCCTCAGCCTTCTAAGTATTGAGATAGCAGATGTGTACATCTAGGCCAAGCTTACCATCAGATGTTAATAGTAACAATAAAACCATCCTATTAGCAAAACTTTCAATCACTTCATCCTATTAAAAGCCTGCTGCCGAGCTTTGCTGTCATGTTGCAGGAAGTTTCCTTGCTTACTGTACATAAACATGAAATCTCCCTAAACTGTCTAGTAGTTTGCTATAATAAAGAACACAACACACATATGTAATACAGTTTATTATACATATGGAAATAAGCAGAATCCTAACATACATCAAGTGTTGTGAATTTAACCACATTTAAGAATTACTAGAGAAGGTTGATATTGTAAGCAATTCTAGAAGATCAGCACCCTAAACAGCCTGAGAGAATAGAAAAGGATATTAGAGGTTAAATCTGCAATAACATTTAATTATGACCTCATAGCATACAAATAACAGCTTTAGCCTTAGTTTTCTCACTTTGAGGAAAAAACCTCAGACTCACCACCATCTACATTTGAATCATTGAAATTTTTAAATGTTACCTCTAATTCTATAAATTCTTTTACTAATGTTCATGTGTGTTTGTGTGTGCATTCTTAAATTTTTTATTGGCTTAGGGAAACTCAGAGGACAAACTTTAATAATTTTTCAATGGTGACTTTCAATTAGACTGGGGGTTTACAAACCTGTTTTAAGACTGAAACATCTCCTGTATCAGTGACCAAAGGCAAGGCATTTACATTCAGCTTCATTGAGATCAACTGCTGGATTCTCTCTGGACCTGGACTGTTCCTGTACATGCTCATTCAGTTCATGTAGGCACCTCGATGACTCTGTTTTTACTTGGTTCTGTCTAAATGACTCAAGCATCTCTTCTGCTTTGTAACATATAATTATGACATGATTAATTATATTAATATATTGGCTGTTTAGAAACATATTTTATATTATATTTAGAATTATGTATAGTTAGATGCTAATATTAATGTCCTTTATGAGACATTACTTTTATCTAAGCTATAAACTATTATTTTACTTACATGTTAAATATAAAACTTGGTAGTTATATCTTGGAGATGCACAAAGTACATATAAACTTACAGATTCCCAAGACTATCTGTGACCCTGTCATACATACAACTACTTGCTTTTAGAAGGTTCAGATACATACTGATTGAGACAGGCAACAAGGAAGTCCTTTTAGGGGCACAGATGACACAAGCAGGGACAATGCCTTCTTTGAATCCACAGAGCTGAACCAGTAGCAGTGAACCATTTCCCTCCTGCTTCAAATCTGTGCCTCCAGACTGTTTTGCCATCCTGCCATGCATGAATGAGTGTGCTGATAGCATTTGAAGGGTACTTGATTTGTAATGTTTCTATAGCCTATGATTTTTCAATAAGTGGAATACCTTTAGAAACTTTAAAGTTATTTACAAATTCTTTCAGAAATACAAAGCTTTTATTTATTATGCCTATGTCTTATAGTTTCATTATGGCACCCCTGTGATTTTCTTTGTGATGACATGTATTAGTCTACCACAAAGTACACTAAGTACTAAAATAGTTAAACAGCCATAATTATTTATAATTAATTAATGAACAGTATAATTACTTATATAGATAACATATTGATACAATTATTAACATATTATATTAATATATATGAACATTAGTATTACTTCTGTGCTCACATCTGAGTACTATTTACAGTAAAACTCAGACTGTAGTGTCACTAATCCTTATGGTCACTCTAAATCTATGGTTCTCAATCTTTCTAATGCTGCTACACTATAGTACAGTTCATTATGTTTCAGTGACCCCAACCATAAAGTCATTGAACCAGTAATTGTCCAAAATATCCACATGCAACAATTCTTGTCTTAATAAGATGTTTAAAATATCACTGAGAACATTATTTCAATGAGAATTCATATGAAATGTAAAATATATCACCACAATAGAATAATGATTTTATATAAACACCTTTACTTGGGAAAAGGATTTAACTCTTTTTAAATGTAAAATACACATTTGTGGAGATTGCAAAGAAACATGGCCAGAAAGTATGAACTCATCTGTACAGAAATACTTTTTTTAATTTAGTAGCAACAGCTGTTTGCAAAAGTACCAATCACTTCCGCATAAGCATATATAAATCTCTCCAGTAAATTACTTAATTGCTACCTACTAAATATGTGAACTCTCTTAGAGTTCAAAGCCATAACCAACAGAGGTGCATTTTTTTCCATATTTCAAATGTACAACAGAAATTCAACGAAGGATTTGAAACAAAATAAAATCCTGCTTTATATGAGTAAATTGCCAAATCCTTAATTTTATCTGTCATTTCACGAGATTTAAGCTAGTTTGCTTGACAGTATACTTAAAAATTTACAATACGAACTAGATGGAGATCACAGCTCTGCTGCTGGAAGTTTGAAGTGTGGAGCTCCGGGATGATTCCCTATGTGTCATTCACTGTTTAAGAGTTTTATGAAGATAAGACTTTTGCTACATGAGGACCCATTCATCAGCACCAGGAACTGGGATCTTGGGGATTCCTGAACACTGGTCGAAAGATGGCCTGTTTTGTTTCCCCACAGTGAGACCAGGGTACTGAAACTGATTTCCCAAGAATAAGGCAGTCGTGTGTGTGTGTAGTGTGTGTGTGTGTGTGTTGTGTGAGTGTGTGTGTGTTATAACAACAAAGAAAAAGAGGCGTGAATCTGAGAATTAAGAGGGGCACATTGGGGAGATCTGAGAATGGAAAAGGAACAGAGGAGCTAATGTCACTATACTTTAATCAAAATGACATAAAACCAGACAAAATTTAAACAAAATTTAACATGCTTAGATAAGAAAACAACAAGTCTACTTGATCATGGTGGATGATTTTTTTTCTGATGTGTCCTCAGATTTGATTTGCTAGTATTTTATTGAGTATTTTTGCATCAATGTTCATGATGGAAATTGGTCTGTAGTTCTCTTTCTTAGTTGTGTCTTTCTGTGGCTTGGGTACCAAGGTAATTGTAGACTCGGAAAAAGAGTTTGGCAGCGAACCTCCTGCTTCTATTGTGTGGATTAGTTTGAGGAGTATTGGAGTTAACTCTTCTTTGAATTTCTGGTAGAATTCTGCACTGAAGCCTTCTGGGCCAGGATATTGTTTTGGTTGGGAGACTTTTGATGACTGTTTCTATTTCATTAGGGGTTATAGGTCTATTAAGATTGTTTATCTGTTCTTGATTTAATTTTGGCAGGTGAAATCTATCCAGAAAAATGTCCATTTCCTTTAAATTTTCAAATTTTGTGGAGTACAGGTAACATGGTATGTACTCACTCATATATGGATGTTAGACATGGAGCAGGGCATTGCCAGCCTACATTCCCACTGCCAGAGAGTCTGGGAAGAAGGGAGGACCCTAAGAGAGATATGCATGGTAACCTGGAGAAGGGTTATGGGATGAGATCTCCTAATTGGATTGGGAGGGGAGAGGAGTGCAGAAGGGATGGGAGTAAGAGAGAGGGAAGAGAGAAAGGGAGAGGAGGATATAGAGGGTCAGGAAGGTTGAGCCAGGGTAAGAATAGAGGAGAGAAGGATGAGAGATACCATAACAGAGGGAGCCATTATAAGTTGGAGGAGAGATCTGGCACTAGTGAGATCTTCACAGTTATACCAGAATACACCAACTGGTGTTAAGGCTACCTTAAATTCCCTCCCATGACAATGAGATTGATGACTTCCTTATATGTCATCCTAGAACCCTCATCCAGGGGCTGATGGAGGCAGAGAGAGATACCCACAGCTAAAAACATAACTGAATTCTTGGAACCCAATTGCAAAGAGGAGTGTTGAACAATGGAATCCAGATCAGGCTAGGGAAACCAACAGAGGCAACTGACCTAAACAAGGGGGAACGCATGGACCCCAAACTGATGACTGAGAGGCCAGCATGGCACGGATCCAGACCACCCCTCTCAACCTGTGTTTCAGAGAAGAGGCCTCGGCAATCTATGTGGTCTTGGGGAATAGGGAAGTATTTATTCCTGGCATACAAATACACTCTGGGAGCCCATTCCACATGGAGGGATGCTCTCTCAGTCTGGACACATAGGGGAGGACCTAGGCCCTGCCCTGGATGATGTGGCAGACTTTGAAAATCCCTCATGGAAGCCCTTATCCTCCCTGAGAAGTGGAGGGGAGATGGAGTAGGGTGGGGCTTGAGAGGATTGTGGGTCCAGGGGAGGAGGAAAGGGAGCGGGAACTGAGAGTAACATGCGTAAAAAGATAAATAAAAAAAGGAGACAAAAACCCACCATGACCAAAAAGCCAAAAGAAAGAAAGAAAGAAAGAAAGAAAGAAAGAAAATAACAAGTACTAGTGTTTACTTTTCCTTGGGCTAAGAAAAAAATGCAAGTCTTTAAAAAATGTATTAAATCTTTTCTCCTTAGTAAATAGCTAACAAAACACATTCATAAAAATGATAGCAAAATCAGGGTATTTAATGTTTAAAAATAAAGGGAAGAAATAATACCTCTATTATGATGATGACGTGGTCAGGTCGACAATTTCCACGGCAAACTGTTTTCTGTAAATCACTGTCTTTGAATACCATTGAATCAACACTAAATATAAACAAAAGATGGTGGTTAATGTTAATAAGGGTTTTGAGTCATTTTGTAAAGTTTATAGCATAAAATCATATAGTGGGAAAGGGGAAAAAAACATGAAACATGATATGTCAAGGCTTACTGATACTATACCATAAGTCACAAATTTTTCTAACTTTTTCACTTAAAAGTAATGTGATGACAAGAGAATTTTCACGGATCAACAGATAAACTTTACACCATTTTATAAAGTATATTAATATATTCATACAGGCATTAGTTTTATGGTTATTAATGATACATTATCTAGTAAAAAGTCTGCCAAAATACCAATTTTATTAAAACATATTTAACACACACACACACACACACACACACACAGAAAACAACATTCAGAATGAACACCATCAGTGGGAATGAGGTAAATGGGCAGGAAGACAAGGTTCCCAGTTACATAGGGACTTTTGGAGTTTGCTGTTTTTATTCTACTCTTCGTGTAGTCTTCAGCATGTGTCTCTATTTTACATTGTTCTACAAACATTCACTAATTTATGTTTTTCTAAAACGTTTAATACCCATAATAAAAATAAAGCAACATGAACATTTAGGAACACAGGAGACGAAAAAGGGAGAAAACTATAGTTTTCATTTTTAGGAAATAAAATTACTCAGTCCCCATTCACATGTATCCATACTGCCTTTTTTGTTCCATTCTGTATTTTAATTTTCCAATTTCTTACTTTTTCTTTTCTGCTCTACTCTTCTTTCTCCTATTCTCTTTCATGTTTTGTTCTGTCTAAAACATTCCATACACAAATGATGTTATTGTCTAGCTTTATCACTTAACTTCTGATGGCATCTAGCCCTTTCAAACATTCAGTAATATAAATAATGCTACAATCTCAAATACTACAAAGATATCTTTGATGTTTGCCTCCTATTTCTCTGTGATAAAATCCTAATTGATGTTAAGTGCAATATCCGGGATCCTGACACTTCATGGGCTATGACTTCATTCTGTAAGCTTTATAGGTATTTATCACAAATTGCAAAAGACCAGTTTGGTTAACACTGAATTCACTGCTACCATTTAGACCTAATGTGTCCAAACTTCCTATGTGGTTTCATCAATTACATAAATGAAGTCAAGTCCCATATTCTCTACCAAAACACACGGGTCCTATTATGTTCTCTATACTTCCAATGGCATGTCTACCATATGTATCTGTAATCATCCCTTATTCTATTTTCCTGGTATTCTAGCACAAGATGGATACCTTGGATGTGCTGACCGTCCATGGATGGTCTCAAAGCTTCCCTGAACTGTCGGGATCTCTGTTCCATAATGAGCTTCAGTTGATTTCAGCTGCTGCTCTAAGGTGTTCACAGGGCTCTCTAACACCTGAAGCTGCTTTTCATGTTCTTTCATGTCTTGACTCTCCGGCAGAGAAGAAAGTTCACTCTCATGACTGATGTCTGTGTCATAGGAACAGAACCAAAGGCACACTTTGGTCCACGTTTCTTGGTGACAAAGCAGCATTACTTGTGTGTATGAAAAATAATTGTGATGGTTTAAAACATGCTTTTAGTTATAACTTTTTCTTCTTATTTAAAAAAGCCATTATGATTCAAGACTACTTTTACTATCCTCCTGTTTGTAGAATCACAAAATCTAACAAAGTTTCAAACAATTTAGAAACATAGAGTGTGAGAAATTATAAGGACAAAAGAGAAGAAGAGTCTGAACTGTCACGTTAAAGATGAGAAAACTGAATGAGAAGATGACCATGAAGGTTCATCAGATTACCACAGGGTTTTAAGGAAAGCCCATTTGGGTGTAAAAGTACTGCAACATGTGTGGCGACCACCTCGACCAGCAAAGAAGATGTGACTCTTCTCCAAGCAGTTTATTCAGGAACCTTGAAACAGTCTTCTTCTTCTCTCCGGGGGAAAAGCCCGCCCACAGCTTATATGGCCTAGGCATAGCCAACCCTAGCATGCTACTTGGCAATAGCAGATAGGTCCACACACGGAAGCAAGCCGTGGACCCAAGCCTTGGCCAAATATGGAGTTGTTTACTCTGAGAGTGCTCACAGTCGGGAGGGTGGTAGGCGGAAGCCGGCGCCATCTTTAAGGCGCAGCACATCGCAGCTCTCCACAAACATGTTCTACACTTAAAATTTACCAGTGTTCTGTAAACCAGCCTGAGAGCATACTGACAAAATCCCTGATTCCTCTTCTGCCACATTTTCCTCTGCAAACTCAAGTTTCCCACCATCTGTTTGTGTTCGTGAATCTATTGAAAACAGAATAACGATGACATAAACATACAATCCGGGACTTTGAAATCTATATTAAAACAATTGAAGAACTTTGAATTAAGTTTTTTTAATCCCCTATATTTTTGTTGCTCTGAAACAATCAAACACTTTGTTTCCTTTTGATAAGTGATTCACTGTCATATTCATGGGTATGAAATTGTATTACCAATGCTCTTTTATATGCAGAGAAACATTCACTTTCCAGAAACAAATGTTTAACAGCAATTTAAACTGAAAGCCCTTTGAAAATTTAGTACAAGCAACAGACTTTTAATTACCATTACTTGACAACTTAATTTTTATTTATGTCAGGATGATGAATTTAAGTAACTGACAAGTAGTATACTGCTCATTACAAAAACACACTGTCCCAAAATTTAAGAATCTGCATATTCAACATTAAGACAAGGCAAAGGAAGATTACAAAATCACCTTAAAGGTACACACAAACACCCACATACCCAATGAGATAGAGAGAGATTATGTGTGTGTGTGTGTGTGTGTGTGTGTGTGTGTGCATCTATCTCTTCAGAGAGTTTATTAACTAGCTGAGGAAATAAGACCATTCGAGAAGCAATACTTATGACATCTGAGTACAATGACAGTGACTCTGAGGAGAGACTGAAGTGCATCTGAACAACTGGGGAAGAACCCAGATTTCACCTGGGTATTAATAGTTTATAGCAAGGACTTTCTGGAAAGGCTCTGTGAGATGACCTATGCACTAAGAAGTAAAATCAATGACCTGTTGACAGGGGCTTATATTGGATGAAAAGGGTAAATAAAGCTCGTTAAGTAAAGTACATCTAAATTACAAGGGGAAAGGGTCTTGACTTGCTGGACAAGACCAATATAGTATGCTAGGAAAACCAGTCAGTATCAGGAAACAAAGAGTTCTAAGAGGCTATTTTCATTGGTCCCTACTCTTTTTATTAGGTGTCCTCTACCACATGCCTACCTCCTGAATATTTTTTTTATTTCCTTGCTTGTGTGTGTATGTGTGTGAGCACACATGGTTGCATATGTACAATATATATGGGAATGCATGCACAGGGAAGTCAGAGGTCAACAGCAGATGTTTTCCCCTTCAGTTTCTCAACACATCTGGAACTTCTCTATTAGACTGGAATGGTTGGCCAGCAAGCCCCAGGGATCCTCCTGTCTCTACTCTCAAACTGGGATTACAGGACATGCCACCTTTGCTATGAATTTGGAGGCTTTAAACTCAGGTCCACTTCTTGCACAGCAAGCACTTACTGAGCTGCTCTCCAGCCCCTGAGGACACTTGAACAGGGGAATCTTACCTGTCATTTCCCAGGGGAAATAATAAAAAACACCAGACAATATAATTACAGCCTAATACTTTTATATCTTTGCTCAATTCATTCATAAATACCTACGGAGCCTTTACCATGTGCAATCCAACTGCTGTGGTAACAGGAAAGAATAAGCACAGAATTCTCTTACTTGAAAGTTTGGAGTCTTAGATCTTGAAAATACCACAGGGAAGGCTTTACCCTCCCTGGGTAGCAGAAAGGGGTTGGGGGGCAGCGGAAGAGGGGATGGAGGGGGAACTGTGATTGACATGTAAAACATGACTGTAATTTAAAGAAAAAAATTTATATATACAAAAAAAGAAAGTTTGGAGTCTTGTGGAAGAGGTAGATCTATAAACAATTATAATAAAATGAAAAGTAATGAGATACAAACATATGCTTAACAGAGAGCTTTGAAACATGAAAGAAAGTAGGCTATCCAGGCATCTACGCCAAGAGAAGCTCAGAGAACAGAGGAAAAATGTCTAAGCCTAGGAAGGCAAGAGAGGATGACACAAGAAAGTGACATTTAAACCAACAGGAACAAGAAACAGGCACCCGGAGGAGGAGGAGTACCACTAGGAAAAGGAAAATCATTCAACAAAGCCCAGGAGTGAGAGTTTCAGTTCCTCTAGCTGAGAGGCTGATGTAGTGCGGTCCTGACCTGATGCTAAAGGACCTGGCATGGTCTGCGTCACAACTGTGGTAGCATATAAAGTGTGTTACTTTTGTTTGTGCTGCATTTGTTTAACTCTGTGAAGCTGTGTTACTGTGTCTGTCTAAAACCCCTGGTGATCCTAATAAAGAGCTGAAAGGCCAATAGCAAAACAGGAGCAAGGATAGGAGGGTGTGGCAGGCAGAGTGTAAACAGAAGGAGAACTGAGGAGGTGGAGCAGCAGGAGGTCCAGGAGAGGAGGACATCAGGGCTCAGCTGCCCAGCCACCCTGATACCCAGCCAGGAAGCTGAAGGATAAGAAGGAAAATAAGACAAGCAGAAGTAAGAAGGATAAAAGCCCAGAGGAAAATGTAAAAGGGCTAGAAACAGCCAACATAAGGCCAGGCCCTCATCACTAAGAATACGTCTGAGTCTGTGATGGTGGCCGTGCAAAAGCCAGAAGAGTAAAAGAGCAAAAGCCTCACACAAGGCACAGATAACTGGCAGTGAAAAACTCACTCATTACTCAATGTGCAGAGGAGAGTGTAGAGAGAGTGCTAGATGTCTGTCTTTAGAACGGCCTGCTTATGAGCTTTTCTCTTGGCATTAATTGAGAAACCTAGTGAAGAGCTCTCTATGCCTATACAGACCTCTCCATGTGCTAGCATGGGCAACATTGCTGCTTAGAAAAAGCACTATGGTCTAGTCCGTGTGAACACTTGTGGAGGCTGCTTATCTGCACTTGATAGAAAACTTTGGACTCCTAAGTTACAATGTGCAGTGTGGGTACACGATGTGCACATGTTATTACACTCACACTGGAAGAACTAAAGTGACTCTACTGAAAGAGGACGTGTGCACCTGCTTCCTTTGGGACTCTGGCCATGAATCCTTTCAAGTCCTTCCATGGATGCCTTTGCCTGTGTGCTTCTGTTGTGATGGGACCTCGCCCTATATACAACTAAAAATCTTGAAAAGTTACAAAACCTTTTAACAGAACTGAATGCCAAAACTGTGTCAAATAAATGAAGGTGTCTTTTGCCATATTTTTCTACAACTTGAAAATTTGAATAGACATCTTGTTGAATTTCTAATTCTATTAAGTTACATTATGTTGTACAAGTCATCTTACCTGATTTTTAAGAACACATTATAAACTAACTATACCAGAAGAAAATTTACACAGATGATACAATGTAATAATATGATTTTTGTGCAAACTAACTAATCATCTTCTTCAAAATTTAAATACAGGACCATTGCCTTAAGAAACAGGCTGAGGGCATACTTCATTGATAGACTGCTGTCCTACAGATTGCCTTTGTGGGGGCTGAAGTGATGGCTCAGAGGTTAAGAACACAGGCTGCGCTTCCAGAGTCAAGGTATCTACACAATTAAATACAATTGTTTCATTTGCTTAATATTTGACATTCACATACACTTCATCATGACTCAGAGAGTTACAGATTACTCAACTTCTCCAAATTTCTTCAGCAGACAGATATAAATGTTCTCAGAGAAACATAAATGGTTAATATATTTCTACTAGCCTTTTCTATATTCACTTATTTTTAGAATTTCTTGAATAACAGAACAGCAGATAATAAAATAAATACAAAGACCATATTTTACACCTCACAGACCTTGCTTAACTGCATCTGCAGTGTCACAAACTTGTTGTGTTCATCTGTGGTTTTACTTAGATGGTTTTGAATGGCATCATGAAACTCTGGATGAGAAACAAGCATTACAATCATTTCACTTCACTGTATAAGTTCACCTTTATAGAAATTATAGTATACCTAATTACAACCCTAGAAAGCCACCTGGAAGTAATAGGTCCCATATATCTAGTAATATTTTTTTAAAAATCATGACTCTGAAATAAGTGTTATGAAATTAACTTGAAAATGTCATCCCAATATACATTCTGTAGCTACTTGTTGGGGGGTTGTTCATTACCTATATAATATATATACTGGGAAGATACAACTGTGTAGTAACACCAAGAAATTTAAGTTGGAATTTGTCGAGTGCAAAACAAAACCCTAAAACCATGAATGAAGAAATTAATGTCCTTCTTTGTTTAGCCAATGGGTGGCCTGGAATTATTATGCAGACCCGAAGGCCTAGGACTCACAGATATCCACCTGCCTCGCCCCTGAGCATGTGCTACCATACTTGGAAAAGGATATTTCTTACTGTAGCTAACTCCTCAATGGTTTTGTCATTCACTTCTAAAATTATAAACCATTAATTTAAACTTGGTAAACAGTAATTTCTTTTTTCTTTCTTTCAATTTTTTTCTTTTTTTATTTCTTTAATTTTAAATAGCTTGCTTCACATGTCAATCCCAGCTCCCTGTCTCTGCCATCCTTCTGCACCTCCCCACCATACCCCCAGATCCTCCCACCCAATCCCCACTTCCATCCTCACAGGGCATATCTAGAGTTTGTCATTTAGCTCAGGGAAGGGTCCAGGCACTCCCCTAAGAGTCCAGGCTGAGAGATCATCCCTCTTTGTATTATGGACACACAAAGTCCATTTGTATGCCAGGAATAGATTCTGGTCTACTGCCCAGAACCCCATAGGTTGCCCAGGCCTCCTCACTGACTCTCACACACTTGGGGTCTGATCAGTCCCAGGCTGGCCTCCCAGCTGTTGGATCTGATGTCCAAGAGCACTTCTTTGTTCAAATCAACTGTCTCTGCTGGATTCACCAACCCTTTATTTGCCAATTTGCTCATCGCTCCTCTCTCTCTGTCACTGGGTTCTATGGGTTCAGTTCAGTATTTAACTGTGGGTGTTTGCTTCTGCTTCCATCAGTCACTGGATGAAGGTTCTCATTCCTCATCTCTAGGGTACCATGCATATCTCTCTTAGGCTATTTCCTGTTTCCCAGACTCTCTGTCAGTGTGGCACTGCAGAGTGTCATTCACTTTTAAAATTATAAACCATTAATTTAAACCTAGCAATCTCAGTAATTTCTTTAAGAACTTAAAAGGAGCTACAGTTGGAACCGTTAACAGAAAGAAGTAGAATAAAGAAATAAGTGGGAATACAGAAATAGCGGTGAAAGAAATAAGCAAAGGTAGGAAGTCTTAATTATGTGCATTGTATGATTGTTACACTATAAAGACTGAAAGTGTACATTAAATCACATAAATTTCATCTCTAAAGAAAGATACTAAGACAGAAAACTTATCTATAATAAAGTTGTGATTAAAACTAAGTTTATAAGCAATTGACATAAGCCAAGTGAATAATGTTTAACACTATGGTAAGGTTTTTACCTTCAACTTGGTATCTATATTCTTGCAAGTTTACCCTTCAAAAGAATTCTCTTTGTCTTCTATATTCATTTCACAGTTTAAAGGACAACAGTGTTCATCAAGAAAAGCTTGCATACTCTGTTAACAAAATTGAATTATTTTAAAATAAAATTTTGATTTCTTCTAAATACTATTAAAACATCATTAACCTAACTGCAAAAGGTCAAAAGAATATGAATGGAATCTTAATTCCCTCTTGTTCCACAAAGGAAATCCATCTGCAGAAGAACCATGTTTCTTTTTTATGTGAAATTATTTTTTTCAGTAAAAGACTGATAATATTTTTTATTTTATTTTTTATCTTAATTTTAAATAGCTTGTTTTACATGTCAATACCAGTTCCTTCTCCCTCCCCTCCTCCTGCACCCCCAATCCCGCCCCAGCCTCCCACCCTATTGGCAATTCCTGCCACATAGGGGATATCTAGAATCTGTCATTTCACTCAGTGTAGGGTCCAGGTACTCCTCTAAGAGTCCAGGCTGAGACAGCATCCCTCTTTGTGCTATGGACACACTATGTCTGTTTGTATTCCAGTGATAAACACTGATCCACTGCTGAGGGCCCATAGGTTGCCCAGGCCTCCTCACTGACACTCACATTGGGGGGGTCCGGATCAGTCCCATGCTGGCCTCCCAGCTGTCGGTCTGGGGTCCAAGAGGTCTCCCCTATTCAGATCAGTTGTCTCTGCTTGTTTTGCCAGCCCATTCTTTGCCAATTTGCTCATCGCTCCTCTCTCTGTGTCACTGGGTTCCTTGAGTTCAGTTCAGTGTTTAACTGTAGGTGTTTGCCTCTGCTTCCATCAGTCACTGGATGAAGGCTCCCGGGTGGTTATAGACATCAATTTCATTATCAGGAATGGGCATTCGAGGTGCTCTCTCCACTATTACTTAGCTTGCCAATTGGTGTCATCCCTTTAGATCACTAGAGGTCACACTGGTGCCTGATCTGTCTTTCTAACCTATGATTCCCTCTTCCCCCTATTCAACCCCCCCAGTCAACCTTCCTGTTCCTCCATGATCTACTCTCTCTTCCCCTCCCCCTCTTCTTCTCAGCTCCCACTGCCCCCCCCCGCTGTGTTCCCCATCTGTTCAGAGGATCTTGCCTCATTCCTCTTCTCTTGTGTACTGTGCATATCTTTTAGGTTCTTTCCTGTTTCCCAGACTATCAGTGGAAGTGCAGACTGGCAATATCCTGATCCATGTCTAAAATCCATATCTGAGTGAGTACATACCATGTTTATCTTTTTGCAACTGGGTTACCTCACTCAGGATGGTTTCTTCCACTGCTATACATTTACCTGCAAATTTCAAGATTCCATTGTTTTTTTCTGCTGAGTAATACTCCATTGTGTAAATGTATCACATTTTCTCTATCCACTCTTCAGTTGAGGGACATCTAGGCTGCTTCCAGGTTCTGGCTATTACAAATAATGCTACTATGAACATAGTGGGGCAGATGCCCTTGTTGTATGAATTTGCCTCATTTGGATATATGCCTAAGAGTGGAATTTCTGGGTCTTCTGGTAGATTGATTCCCATTTTCCTGAGGAATCTCCATACGGCTTTCCAAAGTGGCTGTACGAGTTTGCACTCCCACCAGCAGTGGAGGAGTGTTCACCTCTCTCCACATCCTGTCCAGCATAAATTGTCTTCGGTGTTTTTGATTTTAGCCATTCTGACAAGAGTAAGATGGTATCTCAGCATTGTTTTGATTTGCATTTCCCTGATGGCTAAGGATGTTGAACACTTTCTTAAGTGTCTCTTGGCCATTTTAGCCTCTTCTATTGAGAATTCTCTATTTAGATCTGTACCACACCTTTTAATTGGATCCTTTGGTGTTTTGGAGACTACAAAAATGATGTAATTTTTTTCTATTTCCTGTTAAAATTGAATATATCATGAAGTGTTGGTGTCTACACTCTACCATGACACCTACTCCTACTCTCTACTTTGAAAATATCTCATGACTATGTCTACTATCCTGGAACAAACATCACAAGGGGAGAAGTTCAAAACTGACAACTAGAGAGGCCTGCCACACCTCTCTGAAAACAAGATAATCTATAAAGGGAGAGATTATACTAGTGTCCTTTCTACAATATGCAAGCATTTTTTGGTGGTCTGTACAAATACAAAGTTAAAAATATCCAGCTCAGTGTTCTGCAGAGCAACAGATAACCCCACTATTGTTTAAAATATCATTTCATGTTCCATGTTCTGTGATTTGATAAGACATCTAAGTTAGTTTTGATTTGAATTATTTAAAAGCCAATTGTTGATTGCTACTATTTCTTGCATTTTTAAAAGTTAAACCACAATGTCAGTTAATGATTGCACATAACTTCTCAGCAGAGCCAGAAATATAGCATTTTAACCCTCGGCACTCTCAATGAGCAAACTGTTCCAGAAAGGTTAAGTATTACCCTCTGAAAAGAACAATGCTTATGCTGTCTGCTCTGGTGGAGATACAATTGATCTGTTTCTTTGTCCTTCTTATGTGCTAACAGAGATTGAATCCAAGACCTTAAACTTAACAGGCAAGCACTGATTCACCAAGTCACATCCCTCTCACTGATTTCTTTTATTCCCAAATGGCTATCAGAAAAAAGCCAAGTGTTCATTGAAAGCTTAGGACTCAGGAATGTTAAGTACAGTTCTGTACAAAAGGAATTCAGGAAAATCCACATGAGTGGATGGGTCTTCTCAGTGAATCATTAGCAATGTAAACTTTGCACTTCTTGTCCAAAACCACTTTTAAGGTAACATTTTACCTTTGACACAGAGCAGCACTCCTCAGACACTGCCTTTTGAAGTCGTCCAATGAGCACCTGTACAGGCTCTTTGTCTTCACCTAGCAGAAGGTATAGCACATGTGATCCATTCACAGTACATGTGTAAGTAATACTGTCAGAGTTAACTGTTCCAACTGCAAGCTTCCCAAAAACAAGACACATTTTAATTTTTTCCAAATTTATTTTTCATTGTGCAATGTAACTGTGTCAAAGGGTGTAAAGCAGTGACCTACACTCCAACACAAGCAATACATCCATATACCTATCCATTAAATACATCAATACAAACATCAAACAAACTACTACAAATGAGTCTTCACTTTTTATTGCACAGAGATATAGCATAGTGGTAGGGTGCATTGACCAGTATGTGCAAGCCCTGGGTTTCAGGCCTAGTGCCACAAAAATCAATCAATCAATCAATTAATTAATTAAAAGTATTGCAAAATGCAGTCCATTTTCTTCTCCTCTTTTCGGAAACAGTTAACATTACTCACTAAACTGCTTTATTACCTACTAATAGAATAATCAACTGTCAATAGAACACACTGGACAGACTATCTGAAGACCATATCAACACAAACAATGCATGCAAATACAAGCAAAATCTTACCAAATTAAAAAACCAAATGAAATGAAATGAAATTTCTTGAAATGAAAATCTGCATCCATCTTTAAGTAACTCTTGAAATCTGACTGTTTTTCAGCACAGAAATTCTTCTGCAGATTTCAAAAGTATCTCATTCTTAATGGTAAATACCTAAATATGAGAAAGTCAATATACAGTAACCCAACACCCAACATCAAACTGAATGGAGAGAAACTCAAAGCAATCCCACTGAAATCAGGTGCAAAACAAGGCTGTGCACTTTCGTCATAACCATTCAGCATAGTACTCAAAGTTCTAGCTACAACAATAAGACAACAAAAGGAGATCAAAGGGCTACAATTGGAAAAAATAGAAGTCAAAATCTCGCTATTTGCTGATGATATGATAATATAAATAAATGACCCCCATAATTCTAGCAGAGCACTCCTATAACTGATAAACACGATACAGCATTAACTAAAAAAAAATAAAACCATCAGTAGGGTGTTGGTGGTGCACGCCTTTAATCCCAGCACACAGGAGGCAGAGTCAGGCAGATTTCTGTGAGTTTGAGGTCAGCCTGGTCTACAGTGTGAGATACAGGACAGCCTCCAAAGCAATACAGAGAAACTCTGCCTCGAAAAACAAAAAACAAAGAAAAGAAAACCATCAGTAGAAATGGTATATACAGATGACAAACAGGCTGAGAAGGAAATCAGAGAAACATCACCCTTCACAGTAGTCACAAATAACAGAAAATATCCTGCAGATGACTCTAGCCAAGTAAGTGAGAGGTCTATATGAAAAGAACTCCAGGTCATTAAAATGAAATTAAAGATATGAGAAAATGGAAAGATATCCCAAGCTCATGGACTGGTAGGATCAGAATAAAAATGACAAACCACCCAAAAGTAATCTCCAGATTAAATGCAATCCCATTCAAAATCCCAGCACAATTATTCACTGACCTAGAAAGAAAAATACTCAACTTCATATGGAAAAACAAAAAACCCAGGATAGCCAACACAATCTGTACAATAAAGGATAATCTGTGGGCATCAACATCCCTGACTTCAAGCTCTACTATAGAGCTATAGTAATGAGAACAGCTTGGTACTGGCATAAAAAGTGACAGGTGGAGCAAAGAAATCGAACTGAAGAGCCCGATATTAACCCGCACATCTATGATCACCTGATTTTTGACAAAAAAGCTAAAAATATAAAATGGAAAAAAAAGCATATTCAACAAATTGGTGCTGGTATAAAAGGCAGTCAACATGTTGAAGAATGCAAATACGTCCATAACTATCACCATTCACAAAACTCAAGTCCAAATGGATCAAATACCTCAATGTAAATCCAACCACACTGAACTTCATAGAAAAGTAATTGGGAAATACTTTTGGACGCATAGACACAGAAGCATAGAAGACCACTTCCTAAGTGGAACAACAGTAGCTCAAACCCTGAGAGCAACAATTCCTAAATGGAACTTCCTGAAATGAGAAGCTTCTGTAAAGCAAAGAACACCATCAACAAGACAAAACAGCTCCCTACAGAATGGGAAAAGATCTTCACCAACCCTACATCTGACAGAGGACTGATCTCCAAAGATCTCAAAAAACTAGAAATCAAACATCACGTGAATACGTCTAGTTGCTCTTTTTATTCTTTATACATATTGCACATACCTAGTGTAGTACGTGCATATGATACCAAGATAGTTTCCATTTCACCTTCTTGGTGGGATTTAAGATCCTCCATCTTAGATTTGTTTTGTCTCATTAATTCTTCTTTCATGTGCATTATTTCTCTTCCATACATTTCATCTAGCTCCACTTGGAGGTGATCTACATTCCTACTTGTTTCTCTCTCTGTGCTCTGCTCTTTGCCAGTGTCTGTATGGTTATCTTTGTAATCTTTCTTCTGGAGTTCTTCTACTCTCCCCTTGAACTCTTTAATTCCTAAAATGCAGTGTTTCTCTTTTTCTTTACAATTGGCTAGCTCCAGTTTTAAGCTTTGGGTCTCTTGGTCCTTTTCTCTAAGCTGTTCTTTTAAGTCTCCTACTAATTTATCAGTTTCTAACTCATTCTGCAGGGCAGCAGATTTATTTCCTTCTTCTTTTATTATTTCCTGTAAATCTTCAATGATGGCTTGTTTTTCTAATTCTTGGATGTTGTTATTTTCTACTTTCTTGTTCCTTCAGAAGGAAACAAAAGAAAAGTACAATGATTTCTGGTAACTTTGTCGCTTAACTTTATTAACAAAATAGAGATGGAAGTCACATTTTTACATCTTTTTATAAGAAGTAACTGATGTGCCCACCCCTCAATAGTCCCCATGGTAAGGTTTGTGTACATAGACACTTAGGAACAAACAAGAGTTCTAGAGCAGCTCAAACCTTCTTAGGAAGAAATACAGAATTATATTTGCTGTGATTAAACTTTAATTAATATAGGGGTGAACCATCAGAAAGGACAGGAAAGAATATGATAGTAATATATTGTATGAAAAATTTTAAAATAATAAACATGTAATGAATTATTGTCTCTGTTACTTTTAGAAGTGCTGTAATCTATTCATAATCGCAGATACAGCCAAAAGTTATTTCAGAGGTCCAATGCTCTGAAATTCATGGATGTTTCAATCTCAAATATCTGTCTAAAAGGCTCTGGTGTGATATTACTAAATATTTGTTAAAGGAAGATTCCATTTTCTCAAACTATTTGATGTCTGATTGCAGAGGATAGTAAGCTCTTAATTACAAGTGTAAGAGAGGTCAGTAAGCAGGCTCAACCCCAAAAGCAGAAAAAACAAAGCAGCTTTTTGACGTTCTCAGGTCACCACCCCAACACTGCCACATTTTCTTCACACATTGGAGAAAGTATCACCAATTAAAGATTAATCATAACTAATCACTAATGAAAGACTGTTTGAAATACACTGACTGATTAACAGAGAATTCTTGCTCAAAACGATGACTGCAGTAGTTTCTAAATGTCATTCCCTGGGTTTGGTGCATTAGTTATCTTGTTAAATACACAAAATTGTGAGCTTTCACAGTGAGTCTCACTCCAAAGATATAATTAAATAATTTCTTATGATACATATTTTAAAAGTATAAACTAACTGAAGAATCTCCTGTGTTTTTTATGTGTGGGAACGTCTGAGAAGGCCTGTTGGTCTCAAAGAACCTGGGGCTTTACAGGACTGACAAAATGAGTGAGCAGCTCCAAAGGCCACATATAGCTCTTGAATAAAAGAAGAATAAGACTGCTTTCAACAATTCAGTGTCTTCCACAACTCTTGAAAAACCATGATGGGGTTCCAGTGACAAGTGCCTTTGAATACTTAAGTCCTTAAACAGCAGATTGTAACAGTCAGAATAAACCTGCATTTTCATAACTAGTTACAGGTCATGCATACTTCTGAAGTGAATTACAAAACATTCATCAAAGATAGACTAAGCTCCTACTATGTGCAAGGAATTATGAATCCTTAGAATAAATCAACTACCTAATAACCCAAGACTCCCCCTTCCTCCTACAGATTTATGCTTCTTCATCAGAATCAATACTAATTCATTTAGGGTGACCAAAAAGCCCTCATGACTATGTTCATAAGTGAGGATTCAAAGGACGTGAGGGTGTTGGACAGGTCAGGAATTGTGGAATGCACTACAGGTAGAAGAAAGTGTCGGGCAAAATACTTAAGCGGAAGCAGACTGATATATTTAAGGACTCCGAGGAGGATGCTTAGTCTGAGAACAGTGACAGTTGAGTATGTGAGAATAGTCAAGGGGGTCACAGGAACCTATTGTGCAGGACAGAATAACACTGAAGTTAGGTGATCTGTCTGAAGTTATGAGGAGTATAGTGCTGGCCCTCAGTTGACTGTATAGAGAAGAGACTCTAAGGAAGAATTAGAGTAATTAGTCCTCACGAAAGAGCAGGGACTAGTGGGTGGTGAGGAATGGTGTGGTTCCCATGACCTGTGAAAGCAGAGACAACAGGAATTTTTCATAGATGAGAAGACAGGTATGAGGAAAAGAGGAGGAGTCAAGGCAGATGGAGAGAGCTAAGAAAGGCACACTTTGAAAAGGCGCAGGTTTGCTTTAGACATTGCTGAATGTCAGCATTCCATCAAAAAGGGAAAGAAACCCAGTGGAATGATCTATCTAACACTGCTAAGGAACTGGCTATGTCAATGCCAAAGTAGTGAAGACACTGCAAACAATACACAACAAATATATACTCATTGTCTGGTTTAATCCTGCACAATAACATCTTTATGAAAATGCAACCAAAATTCCCATGGTAAATATCTTCAGGTCACATTTATTTCACACATCTAAAAGTCACAGAATGATCTCCTATTTATTCCTTCTTATGTTTCTGATCAACATATTTCAGTCTTAAAATAACCTCTTTGTATATACTGATGCATGACAGACAGCACACAGATGGATACCTTGGATGTGCTGGTGGTCCATGGATGGTCTCAATGCTTCCCTGAACCGTCAGGATCTCTGTTCCACAATGAACTTCAGTTGCTTTCAGCTGCTGCTCTAAGGTATTCACAGGGCTCTCTAACCCCTGAAACTGCTTTTCATGTTTTTTACTGTCTTCACTCTCTGGCAGAGAAGACAGCTCACTCTCATGACTGATGTCTGTGTCTGTGTCATAGGAACAGAAGGAAAGGCACACTTTGGTCCAAGTTTCTTTATGACAATGCAGAAATACTTGTGTGTATTAAAAATATTTGTGATTCTTTAAAAACATGCTTTTAGTGGTAACTTTTTCTTCTCATAATAAAAACCCAGTGTGATTCAAGATCACTTTTTCTATCCTCCTGTTTGTAGAATCACTAAGAAGTTTACACCATTAAGTTTCAAAAAATTTAGAAACATAGTGTGTGAGAAATAAGGACAAAAGAGATGAGGAGTCTGGACTTTCACATTCAAGATGAGAAAACTGAACAAGAAGATGATTATGAGAGGTCATCAAATTACCACAGAGTTTTTTGTTTGTTTGTTTGGTTGGTTGGTTTTTGGTTTTTCACGACAGGGTTTCTCTGTATTGCTTTAGAGGTTGTCCTGGAACTCGCTCTGTAGACCAGGCTGGCCTCAAACTCACAGAGATCAGTCTGCCTCTGCCTCCCGAGTGCTGGGTTAAAGGCATGCAAAATCACTGCCCAACCACAGGTTTTAAGGAAAGCACATTTGTAAACATTGGCTATAAAAGTACAGTAACATGGTCTACACTTAAAATTTACCAGTGCTCTCTAAACCAGCCTGAGAGCGAACCGACAAAATCCCTGATTCCTCTTCTGCCACATTTTCCTCTGCAAACTCAAGTTTCACACCATCTGTTTGCTGTCCATGAATCTATTGAAAACAGAAGAACGATGACATAAATGTACAATCTGGGACATTGAAATCTATATTAAAAGTATTAAAGAACTACACATTATGTGTGTTTTTTAAAAAATCACCTACACTTGTGTTGAAAAGGGAAAATAAAGCTAGTTAAGTAAAGTACATCTAAATTACAAGAGGAAAGTATCTTGACTTGCTGGACAAGACCAATATAGGATGCTATGAAAACGAGTCAGTAGCAGGATAAAAATTAAGTTTTAAGAGGCTATTTTTAAAAAATATGTATTTATTTTTTTATTTTGTGTGCATTGCTGTGAAGATGTCAGATCCCCTGGAAATGGAATTACAGACAGCTGTGAGCTGCCATGTGGGTGCTAGGAATTGAACTCAGGACCTCTGGAAGAGCAGCCAGTGCTCATAACCTCTTGAGCCATCTCTCCAGGCCTTCAGAGGCGATTTTAATTGGTCACTACTCTAATAGGTGTCCTCTACCACACACCTACCTCCTGAATGTTTCTTATGTCCTTGCTTGTGTATGTTTGTATGAGCACATGCATGTTTCTGCATATACAATTAATATGGGGTGCATGGACATGGAAGTCAGAGGTCAGCAGCAAATGTTTTCTATTTCAGTTTCTCAACACATTTGGAACTTTTGTATTAGGCTAGACTGATTGGCCAGCAAGCCCCAGGGATCCTCCAGTCTCTTCCTCTCTGAAACTGAGATTAGGGGACTTGCCACATTACTATGAGTTTGGAGGGATTAAACTCAGGTCCACTTCTTATGCAGCAAGCACTATACTGAGCCTTTCTCCAGTCCCCTAAGGACACTGAAAAAGGTGAATCTTACCTCTCACTTCTAGGGGAAATAATAAAAGCCACCAGATATTATAACTTACAGCCTAATACTTTACATCTTTGCTGAATTCATTCACACATACCTACTGAGCCTTTACCATGTGCAATCCAAGTGCTGTGATAACAAGAATGAGAAGCACAGAATTCTCTGATTTGAAAGGGTGGAGTCTTCGACTTTGAAGATACTGCAAGGAAGGCATCACCCTCCCTGGGAGCAGAAAGGGGATGCCAGTGGGGGTTGGTGAGGGGCAGCGGAGGAGGGGATGGAGGGGGAACTGGGATTGACATGTAAAACAAGACCGTTTCTAATTTAAAGAAAAAATTGTATGTATACAAAAAGAAATTTTTGAGTCTGTGGAAGAGGTAGATCAATGAACAATTATAATACAATGAAAAGAAATGTGATACAAACATATGCTTAACAGAGAGCTTTGAAACATGAAAGAATGCTAACCAGGCACCTGCGCTAAAAGAAACTTAGAGAACATAGGAAAAAAATCAAAGCCTAGGAAGGCAAGAGAAGATGACACAAGGAAGTGACATTTAAACCAACAATAACAAGAAACAGGAACAAGTAAGAAAGACTTGAGGAGGATGGGTACCACTAGAAAAGGAAAAACAAAGCCCAGTAGTGAGAGTTTCAGTTCCTCTGGCTGAGATGCTGGTATAGTGTTGTTCTGACCTGATATGCAAGGACTTGGCATGGGCTGCGTCATAGCTGTGGTAGCATATAAAGTGTGTTACTTTTGTTTGTGATGCATTTGTTTAACACGGTGAAGCTGTGTTACTGTGTCTGTCTAAAACCCCTTGTTGTCCTAATAAAGAGCTAAATGGCCAATAACAAAGTAGGAGCAATGATAGGAGGGTGTGGCAGGCAGAGTAGAAATAGAAGGAGAACTGAGGAGATGGTATTGATAATAGGCAATGCTATAAGGAAACAATATATTTATTTACCAGAGAGAGAGTCGCACAAGCTGGGAGTTAGAAGCATGGCTGGCTTCCAAGTGAAAAGAGAGAACTCCTTTTCCTTTCACTTCCTTTTATATCTGCCTGTGCTAATTTACTTGGCCCCGCCCTCATGGGCAGATAGCTTTGTGGGGTTCACTCCTACTATTCCCCTTTTAGTCTAAATAGAAGATTTAAATTTGATACAAGCTCAAACATAGACAACATATACACATAGAGGGTGATAATTAAGTTATAATCTACTTATCGTAAGCTAAACATATCCATTCCACCTAAATTCTAAACTTATCTGAAAGGGATGCCTAAGTCTGAACACCCCTTCCAATCCCAACCCTAAAATAATTGCAAATTAACACTAACAGGTGTAAACTATCCTCTAATATCAATAGTAGGGAGAAGGGACATGGAATTCTCAAATTTACTTCCTGCTGAAGTGGGACGATGACAATCATGGGGACCTGTGGGAAGAAATTATTAGTGTAACAAGAGTCTTAAGTAGGTTACTTAGTCTCTGTTTGGCAGGAGATGCTTGACTGAAGTTCTTGATTAGAGTTCTAATTTTGATTAAAGCTCTTATCTGAAGCTCTGATCAGATTGCAGAGATGCACTGTATCAGTTCCTTGGTCTGGAGATGTGTCGAGTGATGTAGTTCCAAGCTGGTTTCAGGATGGTGCTTGTCAGGTGGAGTCGATGATGTGGGGCAGTTTAGATGTATCCAGTCGAATCAGGCGGAGTCAGGGAAGTGAATCCACATTCTCTTTCTGAAGCAGTTGAAGATCGCTGTCAAGAAATCCCTTTTTCTCTGGAAAACTGAAATATTAAGGTTAGCACAGAAATTTTTAACTTTTATGTGTATGTATACTGGGAAAGGCAACCCTAAGGGAGATAATACACATGAAGGAGATTAGAGTTTTAGAAAAAGAACCAAGTATACACAGATGACAGTCCCTATGTTTGTTTTCTTCTGTCTTAGAAAGTCTGAATTGCATTTTAACAATATGCTTGGGTTTAAAGCAGGAGAGCCAATCCAACTCTAAAGCCAGCATTAATTAAATGAATTGGGAGTCAGGCATATTAAGAAGCAAAGAAAATAGAAATCACAATAACAAAATAGAGAGATTTAGACATTGATAACATGTTGTATTATTGCATGTTTGGTGGTCCTCTGGGTAGCTCTCCTTTCTTCTTTAGGTATCCATATACCTAGTATTTTTCACTGTTCAGAACTAATTTTTCCTGTAAAGACACAAACAGAACACTTCTCTTTCCTTTGATGAGGTCTCCTTACACATAGCAGTACATGGTAGAAGATGACCTTGTAGATGAGCCATCATTTTTCCTCCTCCTGAGACGTTTTCTGTTCTGATCAAATCTTAATTAATTTAGATGGGACCCAAAGGTTTTCTTCTCCTGTGGAAACAAAAGCAAAACCCCTTCCCCAACGTAACACATATCCTGGTTTCCAGACTGAGGTCATAACATCCTTAAAATACACTGGTTGGTTTAGTTCAGAAGTCTTCTCTGTAGTCCAGTGTCTTTCTGCTGCAGTTTGTCCTTTTTCATCAGCATTAAGAAAATTCAAAGTTAGTAAAGCGTTATGTAACCTGTGTTTGGGGGTCTTTGTTGCCCCTGGCTGTTTATAAAGCATCTCTTTTAAGGTTCGGTTAGATCTTTCAATTACCGCTTGTCCTGTGGGATTGTAAGGTGTACCAGTTACATGTTTTATATTATAATATTTGAAGAATTGTTCCAATTTACTGGAGACATATGCTGGAGCATTGCCAGTTTTTATTGTTTTAGGTATACCCATAACTGCCATCACCTCTAAAAAGGGAGTAATAACAGAATCAGTTTTTTCAGAGCTAAGGGCAGTAGCCCATTGGAAGCCTGAGAACGTGTCTATGGTATGTACGTATTTCAAACTGCCAAATTCTGGGAAGTGAAATACATCCATTTGCAAGAGTTCATTTCTGTGAATACCTTTAGGATTGCAACCTGCTGGTAACGGAGTTTGATTGTAGAATGAGCAACTGGGGCAATTTCTTACTATTTCTTTGGCTTGTTGCCAGGTGATAGAAAAATCCTTCTTTGAATCTTTGCTGTTAACATGGTGTTTCTTATGAAATTCTGAAGCTTCCAACATATTACCTACAAATAACCGATCAATTTCATCATTGCCTTGTGCCAGAGGACCTGACAGACCTGTATGGGATCTGATGTGTGTTATATATATAGGATGAGTCCTGTTTCTGGTGGTTTCCTGTAATTGTAAAAACAATGAGGTTAATTCTGTACTATCAGGAACAAATTCTGCGGTCTCAATGTGCAAGACAACTCTCTCTGCATACTGAGAATCTGTGACTATATTGAGAGGCTCTGTAAAGTCCTTAAGTACCATGAGAATGGCATATAATTCTGCCTTTTGTACAGAGTTGTAAGGGCATTGAACTACTTTATTTATATTTCCTGATTTATACCCTGCCTTACCTGCTTTGTTTGCATCCGTGTAGAAGGTAAGAACTCCAGAAATAGGTGTTTGTCTAACGATACGTGGAAGAATCCAAATTGTTTTTTATGAATTTGATTCTCCCTGATTTGGGATAGGTATTATTAATAATTCTCAAAAAGCCACTGAAAGCTATTTGCCAATACTCATTATCCTTAAATAAGGAGGAAATTTCATCATTTGTTAAAGATACAATAATTTCAGCTGGATCTTTCCCAGTCAGTTGACCTACCAAGAGAGGTTCATTTGCTAGCCATTTTAAGGGCAGAGCATTCAGTTGTTGCATAGGTTTAACATTAGCATCCTGGTTTTTTACAGCCTGTATGTTTGGCATCTGCTTTCTATAATGCCTTAAAACATTTCTTCTACCATCTAGAGTTTGTCAATAGAAAACACGG